AGTTACTACTATACAGACCCACCCGACAAGGACTGAGGAACCTCACTCCTTTAGAACAGATTCCCATAGCTTTATACACACAAGATGGGCAGAAAATACCCAGGGTGGACTCCATCAGGGTCCTCGGACTCCTGCTAGAGTCCAAGGGGGGCAACTCACGAACTATAGCCCGCATCACCTCCAAGACGGAGAACATGCTTAGGCTCATACTCTGGGTCTCGAACCGCAGGGGTGGGCTGAGCGAGAGCAATCTCCTTCGGCTCTATCTTGCATTTCTCATGAGCCACATTAATTATGTCGCTTCGGCGTTGCGCTGGTCCAAAAGAGAAGTGGCAAGAATTGATACACTAATGCGCAAAAGCATAAAGCGAGTTCTAGGCTTGCCTATCCACACTAGCACCGAGAAGCTCCTACAATTGGGCATGCATAACTCCCTCTCGGAGGTGATCGAGGCCCAGCAGATGGCTCAGGTCGTGCGACTATCGTCCTCGAGGGCTGGTAGGCGCATCCTGGAATCCATAGGCTGCGGTCCTACGGAGACTAACCAGCGTAATGTAACACTACCACCCTCGATCATAGGCACGTTTTCGGTAGCTCCACTTCCAAGAAATGTCCACCCACAATACAATGTGGGGCGCCGCATAGCTTGGGCCCGTTCCTTATTAAAATCAGTTGCAAACAGACCGCATCTCGCGACCTTTGTCGATGCAGCCCAGTACGGGCGTTCGGATCGCTTTGCAGTGGTCTCGGTCGATCATAGTGGCACACTCCTATGCTCTGCCTCGGTTAGAAAGGTTTCGGCAATGGTGCCTGAGCAAATCTCCATCGCCATAGCAATGAAGGATCCATCGCGTCCTAATGTCTTTACAGATTCGCGTTCCGCAGCTAGGGCTTTCGCCTCGGGCTCGATCTCGCGTGAGGCAGCGGCCATCCTCGGCTGTGAGGGGGCTGCCGGGTTTCACACCATAACATGGTTCCCGGCCCACATGGGGGCCAACGTACATCCTGATGTCCCCAAGGCCAATGAGTTTGCCCATGACCGTGCGCGAGGTATCGCTCACCGCGGCGGTCCCGGCGGATTCGCAGGCGGGGAAGATACAGGGACTCGCTACTCACTTTCCACGAGATCATGACTCATTATCATCTATCTCGGAGGGCTTTTCCACTTCCTCATCCTAAACTTACGCGACCGCAATCATCGGCCTACAGGATGCTCCAAACGGGGTCTTTCCCTTCGCGAGGCAGGTTCAGTCATTTTTCGCCCAACATCGAGCCGCATTGTCCGGACTGCGGAGAGGCGTATTGCTCATTACCTCATATGCTCTGGCAATGTCCTGCGTTACGTGACGCAGAGTTCAACAAAGAAGAGGACTGGGAGGAAGCCCTTAACAGCGGCGACCTCTTGGTTCAACTTCGGGCTGTCCAGAGGGCCTGCGAGAGGGCGGAGGGCCACGGTCTTCCGGTCCCTACGTGGGAGCGGCCCGCGACCGCTACGGATTCCCCCTAAACGGGGCCGTTACAACGCAGTTCCTCAGGACCTGAATAAAGTTCTTTGTCTGTCTGTCTGTCTTCGCTTAAGGGGAGACGCGGGTCGAAAAGTCGCGGTTTTCCGGAAAATTTTCGCTTTTTTTTTCCGGCTGTATTGGCATCCTTGGACTATAATCTATTACTTCTGAAAATATCAAGCTGAAATTCGCACGAGAAATTATCAAAAAATGCTTCCAAGTGGGCAGCGGTGACGCGAGAAATGCGCGAAAGTCGCGAAAAACGGCGAAGTTCGCGTCGTCCTGTCGCGAAAACGACGCGTTGGCCGCCATTTGCAATCGTGCACGCATGCTGCGAAGGCCGTATCCTTCATAATCCACTAGTAGCCAGTCTCGTGCTTTCACGCAGAATAAACAAAAAACGAGAAAAACAACGCGTACGTCACGCGTTTTGAATATCGCGGCACACAGCGCGAGGCCGCCATTGGACGGCGGTGCGCTCCACGCTCCTCCCCCTCCTATATCTCCGGCAAAAGAGCGAAGCCTCGGACGTCGCGATCGAGTTTTTCTGCGTTTCTCTGCATTTTTGCGTCATGGCAAGCCCGAAGAAGTGCAGTTCAGATAATCGAAAGTTCAGAACTCGCCACAAGTATCGAGGGAAACGGCGTCGGACGCTTCGCAAAGCAACAGCGAACGACGATGTCGCCCCCGACCAACGCCCCGACGCTCCGACTTCGGATAGGCCTAACACCGTCACCGAACCCTGCGACAGTGGTTGTGAAATAGCCGCTGCCGTGGAATTCGTCAGTGCATCCCAAAGGAAGATTTGATTCTTCGAGAGTGAACGTAGACCGGTAGATGCTGCTACTGCGAACATGCTGCTTTGCGAAATCGATGCGCTGACGGCACTTGTGGCGGGTGCGCAATGCCCAACCTGCCGCGAACGGAAGTTCGGTGTGCGAGAGGCAGCTGGAAAGCGCAAAGGACTTTCGGCATTCCTCGAACTGTGCTGTAAAAATTCTGATTGTCCTGAATCTGCACTTTCGTTCACGGACACGTCGAGACGTACTGCTTCGGCCGGGGACCAAGGAACGAGCGCTCGTTTTGACAGCGGCAGCTCGCGTGACAGCTTTGCTGTAAACGTGAAGGCAGTTCTGGCAGCACGCGCTATAGGCGCAGGCCACGACCAACTTTCACGATTTTGTGCGATTCTCGGTCTTCCGAGCCCGATGCATCACAAGACATTCAACGGCATTTGCAAGAAGCTCCATGGTGCGGCGATGACGGCAGTGAGCAAAAACTTGCACCAGGCACGAAACATCACGAAGGACGCAGTCGGCGGCAGAGATGTGCCAGTCATGTTTGATGGCACCTGGCAGAAAAGAGGTCATAAAAGCCACAATGGAGTGGGCACAGTCGTGTCCCTGTACACGGGGCTCTGCCTCGATTTTGAAGTTCTTTCGAACTACTGCCATGCTTGCAGTATACACAGGGACCTTGGGGAGGATGAAGAGATATGGCGAGCTTTTCATCTTCCAGTTTGCCAAAAAAACACTGACTGCTCATCCCATGCAATGGAACCTGCGGCAGCTGTCAATATATGGCAGAGGACCTTGTCTTATGAAACTCCACTGCGATTCACCAGCTTCCTAAGTGATGGTGACAGCAAGGCCTACACTGCAGTCTGCGAGGCAAATGTATACTGTGACACCCCCATTGACAAAGAAGAGTGCACGAACCACGTTGCAAAGCGCTTGGGAACTGCCCTACGGAAATTGGCAACGCCACTGCCACGAGGCGAAAAACTGAAAGATGCGACAATAATAAAACTACAAACATATTACAAGATCGCCATCACGAGCAACAAGGACAGTGTCCGAAATATGTACACTGCCATATGGGCATCGTATTTTCATTGCTGCTCCAGTGATGGTGCCAGTAGCCACAACTTTTGCCCCGCGGGACCAAATTCGTGGTGCAAGCACAAGCGTGCGGAAGCACTGGGGGAGCCTGCACCACGCCACACCCCACTGTTGACGAAGGCTCAAGGATTGGCAATTATGCCTATCTACAAGCGCCTTACAGAGGAGGAACTCCTTATTCGGTGCCTTCATGGCAAGACACAGAATGCAGCCGAATCGCTGAACAGCAAGATATGGCTGCTATGTCCAAAAACAAAGTTCGCCTCCAGAACAACTGTGGAGACAGCCACCGCTCTTGCTGTACTCTGGTGCAACAAAGGCCACAGGGGCTTTGAAGAAGTGCTCGAAGGCATTGGAATTCTCCCCTCACAAGATCTGGCCCCACATGGTGACCACTGTGACGTCATGCGCATCAGGAAGATGAACCTGAAGCAAACTGCAGAAGCGAGGGCACACTGTCGCAACACAGCGAAGAGAGCTCGTGTTGAGGACACTGACCGCAAGAGCCGTGAAGGACCAAGCTATGGTGCAGGGGACTTCTAGACACTTGCAGTGCATTCAAGGCAAGGTACTTTTCATTGTGCCCCAATTTGATGCAAAAGGAATGATTTCCTAATAAATGCCAACTTTGCGAACTTTCAAACTTGTTTTTCTCATTTTCATTTTTTCTGACAGTTTCACGTTTTCCGGGCAGCCTTTTAGAAACTTATATTCATTGTATAGTAACGAAACTTGGCACACATATTCTTCAACACATGCAGAATGCAAATATCTACTCTAAATTGCAATGCCTACCAGCATTAGTTGTGAAAATATTAGCTTATTGTTTCAAGGGAGATTGAAAATAAGTCGTTCAATACAATTTTTTTTTCTTGGTTCCAATGTTTCTGTGACATATCTATATAGATATTTGCACTTTTCAATCTACAAAGAGTCAAATAAGATCAGACACAGTGCTTTTACTGAAAGTTTAGTACATAAAAGAGTGCCCGCAAAAAATGTAACTTTTTGCTATTGTTTATGGCATAACTCAATAATTATAGCAGCTACACAAAAAATGATTGCATATTTGAAATCTGCATGAAAAACTATACTAATAACAAACTTTTCAAGTCTCTATTACTAGAAATAAAAAAAAAAACTTTTTCGAGGAGCGTCTCCCCTTAAATAACAATCGAAAGTATGAAAATCAATTTTTCATGCTTTCTGCTTTCGACTCCAGTAGTCGAAAGGCATCATGAAGTCTGCACTGCCCCCCAAGTTTATTTCTTGTACCCTTGTAACCAGGCCGCTAATTGTGTGGTCAAGCACGTGCAACGTATTGCAGTGGTTGGTGTAGTTGCTGCAAATTCCTTGCACAGCTTTCTTAGAGTTCTACACATTTGCTAATCTGCCAAGTGGAGAGGCTGCTTTTTGATGAATGTTTCTAACGTTTGGTCAATATGGTTGAAGCCTAGCGACGTATACTTGTGTGAGGCTTGTTTCTAGTACATAATTAGTTTTTCATTACAATGTGTAGTTTGTGAAACACGAGGCATTTGATGCCTTTTTATATATTTTTCCTAAACTGAGGAAGCTTTTGCATTCCTTGCAGGCTGTTGAATGTGAGCTGGATGGGCTTGCCGAGTACGCGGACTGCGATGGTGCTGTCGACATCCTCAAGGAATTGCTTCTGGGGAAGACTTTAGTTGCTGAGGTCCTACAGAGGTGAGGCTGCAGTGGAGAACTGTCTTAGAACGACCAAAAATGGCCAAAAAATTGATTTTCAGCAAAACCTATTTTCGGGACGTTTGTACTTCTGAGCACCTACTCTCAGATTAGTAAAGCTAAATTCGGTCGGGAAATGTGATAAAGTGATCCTTCAAAACATTCCAGCAGCAGCGAAATGCCCGCAAAAGATTGAAACTTGTTTGAAGTTAGCGCGCGCACCAGTAGTGTTATAGCTATAGTGTCTAGAATAGGGAAGTGTGCAGATCGCGCCGCCGGCTCAAATGCCGCTCCGCGATGCGCCGAAAAAAGATATTCAGGTGGCGCTGACACCTGCTTGCATTCCACTCGCAGCAAGTTATCTGCTCTCTGCGATGCAAATCGGCTGAGTGTACTGTTTTTTTCTGCGACTTGTGCGTGCTTGTAGTATCTTTAATTACGAACTGTGCGTGTCTTTGCAATGTAAATTTTAAATTTCGTTAAGTTTTTGTTTACTTTCATTGCTACTAGCCGTGTTTGAATATTGCATCTAACCATGGCTTGCATAGCATGTGGATAAGGCAACTATTTCAGTTCCAACTCCAATCGCAGCTTTTGTTTGTATGTTTTTTTGGGTGACGTCTTTATTTGGCAAACCAAGCATCCGCTATCAACACATTACGGAAGTTATCGACTATGAAACAATAAATTAATTCCAAAGTTGCAGCTTGTCCAGCTTGTCCAGGGGACATATTTCACCCGATTTAAGGTACGACGCCAAGTGTCGAAAAGAAAGATTTAAAAAGTGCTAGGAACCGGTGTTCCCAAGACAATATTATAAGGCAGATCTCTTTAGGCTCATGTGAGCATTATAAAGCACTTTTTTTAATTTTTCATAGTCAAACATTTTAATAAGAAGGCCCTACACTCATAAAAATGTGACAAGTTTTTTTCTCTCTCTCAATAAGTACTAATCGTTAAGAAAAGTGAATTCAGTGTAGGGGACACAAAAGAAGGTTTGGCCTCTGCAGTGAATCAAAACAAATGAGATCCAACGAACAAAACATTGTGATTGCACAACCAAAAATATGTGCACTAGCACTAGGGGCAACCTTCGTATAACAGGCAGCCATAATAATGCATGTCACGACTTTGCTTTCTGTGGTTTGTTGGACATACACATATTTAGCTTAATGAAAATTTGCATTAGCAAAATGGTCATGACTGTTTGTGTACCGAAAAATACTGAAAATATAGTTGTGAGAAAAATCGATAAGAAAGGTTTGAAGCCGGTGAAACTCTTCAAGGTGATGTGGAATGCTAAAATCTTGGGTATTCGTAGCCAGTTCTATCGTGGACCTCGCTATGCTGCATCGTTGCTCGAGTGGCTACTCGCCATATTTTTTTTCTTGCTTGAATCAAAGCATCAGTGCCACCACAGGGTTGATTTCACGATGTGGTGCTAAAATATTTGGGAGGCAAGCTTGGACATCTAGTTTACTCTCGGAATGTTGTGCTGCCACTGTTCAAACACATTCGCTTCCTTGGGCACACGGTACTAAAACAACTTTTTTAGTGGGAGGGGTTTATGAAGGGTCCAGTCTTCCTTCCCTCACCACTTTTGGCCCCAGCAGGGACATTGTTCTGTTTCTCTTTGCATGATTTATACTCGCTCTTGCAATGGAGCTCAAAGCAGCGACTCTGTCGTCAGGTCATCGTCACTACTCAAGGAATGATTTAAGCGAAAAAAACACGAAACGCCCGCACGACACGCGCAGTCGAGTATGCAAACATGCATTTCTCGAGGCGGGCTGATGTGTATGCGGTTCTCATACGCGCCGCTTGGCGGTAATCACATCGAAGTATTCTAGGCACTGTAGCAACGGGCCGAGCGCTGCCATCTTTAGCAGCTAGATTTGAAGTTGTTTCCTTTGTGTGTAATTTGTACTATCCCAATAAACTCCTGTCCTTGAGGCTACTTCGGATGCTGTGGCAATTTGACTTGGGCAAAGCAAAAAGGCATGACCTCGATTTATTCTTTGATGATTTCGTGGTATCCTGGGAGTCTGAAAAATAGTACGTTGACTGCACTAGTAAATGAATTAGTGGGACTTGTATCTCACCTCATTTTTGTGAATTAATGTGACAGCCTTTTTTGTTTCCCTCGTTCATGCTTTGTAGGGAAAATCCCGTCTCTGTAATCCTGTTCGACACGTGGGGACCTGGGGAAATCAACTTGAACCATGCAGTGTTTCTAAGCTTGATGACACCGAGGCTGCCCGAGAGAGGCTGTATAGGACGGTGCTATATGTGCCACGTTACCCCCACTGGCACGGTGTGGTTGCAGATCATGGGACCTGGGCTCGACACCCTCGGAAACATCATGTGTGCGTTTGAAGAGTTTTGTAAGGTGAGGGAGTGTCTCGTAATAAGTGTCAGGCCTGCTGTTTGAACTTTTTTGATGTTAGTGTGACAGATTTGTTTTGAGTAGGCTCGTGCGAATAGTGAATTTTAGTTTCGAAGCGAATAGTGACTTTTGGTCGAATAATTCAATTTAGAATCGAATTCGAGTAGAATATATATTATGGGCAGACTGGTCTTCAACTTCAAGAAGTAGCAGAGCAACTTCGAGAAGTAGAATTTGATTTTCAGTAGGATGCAAGTGACAACCTGTAAAAGACGTAACATTATTTATTACACAGTGTATAAGCCGGCAAAACAAGCTTTTAAGCTTAGGAAATGATCAATTGATTTGAGGATACGTTCATTTAAAGGGACCCTGTGACAGTTTTTCAAGTAACCATGGAATGGCTTCACTATAGAGGCTTATTGCCATATGAATTAACCGCCGCAAAAATTTTTAGAATCTGTCCAGTATGAGCGGAGTCGCAAAGATTTGCTAAATGCTGCAATTGCATTCTCTCTTCTCGTCACGACGAAATATCTTGAAGCAAAGCCGGGAGAAATGACATAGGGAAAGAAAATATGTCTAGTGTGTCTCGTAACCTTGAGCACTGTTTCTCGTTCTTTTTTTTCTTTGAATATGCGGCTTTTCAATGCGATCGGGCATGCACGTGTGGACATGTCCCGGCCACCCGCAGCGGCCCCAGTAACGCCCAATGCTCAAATCAGCCAATGGCTTGTACAGTGGCTAGTGATGATTGATTTATTTGCCAAGAGAAGAGAACGATTTTATCTGACTTTGAGAATTCATTGTTAATTCTAAGTCACATGCTGCGCTATATTTATCTCGCATATTTTCAGTAGCCTTGACTATCAATCTGTAGCGATTGCTGGTCATGCTGAAAAAGTGTTGCTGGGCCCATTTAAATTTGGAGTGGGGATTCGCAGCAAAGCAAATTTTCTTTGGATAGCTGTTTTCATGGCTTAGAACCACTATACTGCCGTGGAATCACATTTACAGGCGGTTGGTTACATGCGGGTCAGTATACACACCTATTTGTTCATGTCGAATACTTCGAAATATTCGATGATTTAAATTCGAATCGAAGTGAATTCGAATACTCTACTGTTCATTGGAAGCATTTGAGTACTCGCACAAGCCTAGTTTTTTAGGTATTTTCAAGGGGCAGTTGCCATACAATTGCATTGCCATAGCACTGAGGGGACGAACGCAATCAAATCTCTTTAGTTACAAATCTCAAATGTTTTCACGGAGTGAGCCTGTCTAGTGCCACAAAAACAGTGGCAAATGTGGTTGTCGGTTGCTAGCCTGATCGCACGAGTCAAGTTAGTCTGTGTAGCGCTGTAAGTTGACGAATGCATTTACACTTCATAATGCACAACAGCTGTTTCTTTCTTTCAATTTCTCAGGAAATGCTCTAGAATGGCTTAAAGAAGAAAGAGGGTCTTAAAAAAAGTTTTTGTTATCATATTGTGAAAATTACCGTGCGCATGTATCATCAAATAAAGATTTCAAATCTGGAAACAGATTTCAAATATCTCATTTAGAAGAGTAGTGACAAATTTCCACAGAAGTAACTTCTTACGGGTCGTTACGGTAACTCGCAGTAAAGGAAGTACAGTTTCTCTAATTGGTCCATCCCACTGGCTGAAGCAAACAAGACGTCAAAACGGCTATTTGATCAGAAATAACTTTTAAACTGGGAAGGTAAAAGTGAGCATCCTGTAATGAGCTGATATTTATTCTATAATTACAATTCTATCAGGATTGAGAGAAAAAGAAAAGCTTTAGCCTGCAGTTCAGGTGCTGCAGAAAAGAATGGTACAATGTTTGTTTAAATATCTTCACAGAAACCTTCTCAAAGCTTCCGTTAGGCAGATTTACTTCACAAAAATAACCATGACAAAAAAAGTGTGTTTAAAGTTTTAAAAACATTTGTAGTTTCATCTATTCAGCTTTTAACTAAATGAAATGGTATTCTGTCATGATATAAGATTTTTTCCAAAGAATACTTTGTACTATATATACCGTATTTACTCGCGTAATCCTCACACTCGCCTAATTCTCGCACCCCCCACATCGCCCAACAAAAATACGATTTCTTTTTTTCCTCGAGTAATTATCGCACCCCTGAAAACTGCCGCAATAATGTCTGCTCGTTACAACCACTGATGATTATAGCGTGTGCCGTCTGGCGCGATCTCTTAAGCATCAAGCATAATATTATTGCACGGAGATTCAGTCTAATCCAAGCCAAGCCAAAGTGGCAAGTGCGCGTTGCGGCATGTTTTATACGTTGTCTGTAATCTTGTCATGTTATCGAGTGATACTGAAGCTACACGGCTGCTTTTATGTTAAATGTGATAGATCATGCACTAAACAACGGCAACAGGGCCGCTGAAAGGCCCTTTGGAGTCTACGAGTTTTGTGTTTGCTACTGGTGACAGCGGCTGAAAGCCACCAAGATGCGTTGGGACTGCCGTGTGCCTAAAACTGGGATTGATGGTAAACTTTATTTCCTCAGAAGGAAACTGCGAACGATTCTGTTAAATCGCCATCAACTTAAAACTGACAGTCCTACGCTTACCTTTTGAGGGCTTCTGTCGAACGAACCAATGCCATTTGCTCGCACATTTTGTGTCTCAAATAAATCTCGTCCTGTGTTGAACCTATGCTTTTATTGTTGAGGTAGGTTTTAATTAGTACTTCTCAAAGCTTGGTGTTAGGTGCTGGTGTGAGAATCCCGATTTGCGGCCGCTTCGTTTTCTTTCTCGCTCTAAGTTTTAGTAAAAAGTTTTCCCCGCGTAATTCTCGCACCCCCCAACTTTGCATTGGTTTTCCGCAAAAAAAAGTGCGAGGATTATGCGAGTAAATACGGTACCTCAAGTTGCAATACCTGAAAGCTAGCATTTTTTACAATTTTGTGCTACTTTAAGACCCTCATTCCTTGTGTGCCTCTTGAAAATATTATTCCTGAGTAATTAAAGTCTTTAGGTTTACAGTGAGTGCAAATAAGTACATTGTTCACTTTTAATGTTCGCCTTCAGCCTTCTCTTTTCTGAACAAGCGGGGTGGCACTTGGTGGGAAAAGGGGCGGCTTAGCTTGTTGCATTGACTCTATCTTTTCTGTGTGAAATGAGACTACGATTGGCTTCGTTTCGAAAAAACTCTTATTTTCACCTGATGCAGAGCCTTTGGCATGGGTTTAGGCCTTTGTTTAATGAGATATGTTTAAAATGAGCCCAGCTTTAATTAAGCCTCACTGTGAATCCTCAAGACAAGACACTTTCCCATCATGCCTGAATGGAGGGTAGGTGTGGGGGGCACATTTTTACAGCGATAAAACCCAACAGGAGGTGTGGCACACACTGGCAAAAAGTTCCAATTTTTTTTTCTTTCTTCTCCAACTTACAGGGTGCAGACTCCATGACTGAGGACCCTGTGACAGGCAGGATATATGGGTGTCAAAGCCGCAGTGACAGCAAATTCTATCGAGCTGTGCTCGTGTCACCTGAGCCACTTCCGTCAGGAGAGGTATGCCTCACTTTTCTACTGCCCAATTACAGCAGTTGTGCAACATTTGTGTGTGTGTGTTTGAGCATGCACTTGCCTAATTCTGTGCTAGGTGCTGCCAAAATTTTGGACTGTTGCTAATATGCATGATTTGCCCCTCCCTCCCACAAGAAAATGCACTGCCAAGGTCGCGATGTCAGCTTTCGCACTCCCGTGCAACGGTTTGTAAAGGAGGTGATCCTTCTCTCTGTTGAGAAGGTTTCATCATGGACTATCATGGCCAGTATGCCTAGGCCATGCTGGCCATGATTGTGCACACTTTTGGCATTCCGGTTTTTGAAGCGAAGACACGGGCTTTTTGCATGTCACTCCCACATGTCACCCGCAGGTACTTGTCGCACAGCTTGCTCATGCGTGTGGCAAGCCCCGGAAAGTGTTGGGTCTGTGAAGCTCACGGTGCTTGGCTTCGCGTGTGAAAGTTCACTCACGCTGCAGTCCTAACCGTTAGAAGACTTCTCTCATCAGATTGTAGTGTTTTTTTTTTTTTTTTTTCCGCGCACGGAGTATTAACTACACTGGCTGCCCTTTTGTTCACTGCTGCGAATGAGAGCTGTCTCAGAGTCGTTCTGACAAAGCGTGATGGCGCAATGGTGAAACGCAAGGTTGGCATGGGAACTGGGCTGGTTATCGATCCGGATCGGCCAACACTTGCCTCCCGCACAGTCAGACAAGATATTGGTTGACATCTCCAGTGAGCGCAGGCATGCTGATGCCTCAAATGTGTGTGGGCATGGTCGAAAGTCAACGAAGTGTAAAGTGTTACAAGGAGGGAAGGGAGGACGGGGTGGCTGGAAGCATGATTTTTAATTTCCACTCTCTCGCCTGATGCAACCACTTAAAAAAAAGGGGGCACTCACCCGGCTCTGATGAGTGTTGACCATTAGTGTAGTAACTGCTCTCCACATGTGCTCATCGAAATTCAAGGGGCTATTCAAGTATCGTAAACCACAACTGTGAGCAAAAGTTCGAGAGTGTTTTCTTGTGCTGTTCTAAAGGGGTGTTGCGGCTCTCGACGCTGTTCACCAGTAGTCGCTTCAAATCCCAGCGCTGAGCACCCGTTGTTGCCGACCGATGTCTACCTGGTCTTTTGTGGTAGCGTTGTGTAACTTTGGTTTGAGGAAACGAACGCTGACAAGATGGGGATACGAAAAACAAACAGGTTTATGGCACTATTTACAAATATTTACAGCATAGAAAGGTTAGGAGTTTCACAAACCACGAGCGTGGTTGTTGAACCATTACATGGTTCAGAGGGACGTTCTGCACTCTGCAGCGTCGTTATAAACCCTGTCGGGCTCCTCCTCCTTGATTGGAACGTCAATCACACAAGACACCGACCACAGGGCATAATTCAGTAGCACATGGTCCGCCGAATAGTTATTTCCCCTCTTGACGCAATGCTCTGGGGATAGGGGAAACGGGGTTCCTTCCCGGAACAATTTGGCGGTCGGGTTGCTTCTTCCGCTTTTCCCAGGAAGGGCAGCCAAGGAGTAGATACTTGAATCGGGGGAGACACGACCTGTGCGGTCGGTCTGCTTCACCGTCTCGCTAAACAAGCTGGCCTGGAGGAATTGCTTGTCGAGACATTGGCTCACGAACAGTCTTCTAATCCTTTTGTCGCTCCCCGCCGCTGGATCTGAGAAACTGGGGTTCTGGGCGTGGGAGCGCTGCCCGGCTATGTTTCGCAGCGACAGCACGGCGCCTACTGACGACGGTCATAACAGGGGGCAATAAACGAAAATGAAACTGTCCGGTTGTAATTTTTCCTGCTTCAGTGAAGATTTGACATGCCTACTCCGAAATACTTAGGTGCAATATCCAGTCTATAAATAATGATGTCCACACGAAATCTGCTTTCTTGAGCTCCCTACTGGCCATCGTAGGTACTTGACATGTGCCGTGAGTGAAACATCATAAAAGCATTTGTAAACAAAGCGTTTGCTTTTTTTTTTCTTTAATATGATCGAAAAAACTTCTTACACTCAGAGCTGTGTAGAGTGTATCAGTACAGAGTGAACGGCTTGGTTCCATTTTCATGTACATCTGAGCTCCATCACGTATCGCCTTTGCTCATCTCAGCGTTCCAGCGTGTGTATGTTTTTGTTGGGTTTTTTTGCTGGTTGCGGCAAGTTATGCATTACGGCATGTTTTGGGTGGTTTAGTCCTCGCTATGCCTACCATGTTCGTCAGACAGTGCCACGCAACTTATCGAAGTGAAAACAGCATTCGTGATGGGTTTATTGTGGTAGAATCGCCACAGTATGATGCTGCGAACCTGTCAAATATGGCTCTGCAAGCATCGCTGCAACGGCATGTTTTGTTGATGACAGACTTCTCATTGGCTGACCTAAAGTGACGTCGGCTCTACAGTTGAGGGAAATATCACTGTGAATCGAAATGGTTTTTATAGCTATTAAATGAGCACGAACAATGAAGCAATTCGAGGTATAGTATTAATGGGGCCCTGGAAGACTTCTTTAGGTAGCCATAAAATAGATTCATTTAAAGAGCAGAGCTACAAAGATTTGTCACATGCTGCGAATCACATTCTCTCTCTTCTTGTCCAACGAAAGCAGTAGGAAGCTAAACTGGGAGGAATGGCAGGGGTAAAGAAAATGTCATGTGCGCCTTGTGACCTTGAGCATTTTTTTCTTCTTGTTTCTTAGAATATGCAACCTTTCTATCGCGATTGCGCGCGCACGCATGGACTAGTTGGAGCTTCCCGCGGTGATCCCTGCAACGACCGAGCGCACCAGCTTCAAATCCGCCAATTGCTTGTAGAAGGCCTTCTACAAGAGATTTTTGAGCGTCTTTCCGTCATTTGTTGAGAAAAGAGAAAGCAATTTTCAGCTAACTTTGATAATTTATTGTAAATTACACGCCGCGTGCTGCGCTATATTATTTGGCTCCCGTCTTCTCGGGAAGCTTCTGCTGCGTTTTTGTACCATGCTCAAAAAGTGTTGCAGGGCTCCTCTAATATGCGGGCAGACTGGTCTTTGGGACCGAAAGGTGACAAAAACTTATGTTTTAAAATTGGCGTTAATGGGTGTTAAAATTGGCATATTTGGTTTTTGCAAGTAGTTTTATATCTCTATACAAATTTTTACCCTCCAGGAAGTGGTACTTTTTTTGTAGTGTCATTCCGAATCCAGATACTGCATTGTGCTAACACAATGCAGAACCTTTAAAAAATAGGAGAGTTTATTTCAAGGCCTCTTTATAATAGTCCAGGACCTGTGTCTGAAGCTCTACTATGAATTTATGAGCGCCTTTACGAGGAGTGCAAAACCTGCACACCGTGATTGGGGTTTTTTTAAACAAACTGGATGTTACCAGATTTTTTTTTTTTTTCATTTTTCTCGGAAAAGAAAATTTATGCCTGTTCAACTTTTAGGCCTCAATATCTCTGCTGCTAGGGAAGGCACAACAATAATTCTTCTTGCAATAAAAGCCTATACGTGTATAAAATGCAAGAATGGCAGGAGAATATAAAGCATAAGCCTTTTTAATTAAATACTCATGAAAATTGTAACACAATTCCAACTGCTTTTGAAAATAGAAAGCTCATAATGCTATAAAATAACCAAGAAAGGCCAAAAAACAAAAGAATTCTTGCATACTTTCAATCTTCAGTCATTATTCTATGTTGCCATATCTTAAATATCACTTTTAATTAAGCACTTTTTTTTATATGGTGGCCTTTAACACTAGGCGGTGAACATAGTTATCTCGGGAACAAAATGAGGTACAGGAAAATCAATCATATATTTGAAATCGGAAGAAAAAACCGCATAATCCTGTGCACTTTGATCAAGATCACTGAAGAAATAAACAAAAAATGATTATGATGAGTCTGCCCGTTTAAATGGACGGCCTGTATTCTGAATACACACATAGTTGAAAATTTTCAGAAAACGGTTTTTGACCCCTTTAAAGAAACAGTAAGAATGTAAAGAAAAGGATTAACTTGCTTTTTGACGAGAAAATACCTGGGGAAAGAAAATGCATATCAAATAAGCTGTTTTCACTATTTTCCCAGAAAAATTTTCATCGTGCAATTGTCATCCTCTGTGACTGTAGGCCTTGCCTAACGGTGCTGCTGCTGATGCACATGGTGGAAATGGAGGCTTTCAATTTCAGCTGCCCATTGTTGCGAGACTTCCAAATTTTTTTCTGCCAATGACTGGTATATGACTAGGGTAGATTTTTCATTTAGTTTTTTTTTTTAATTCGACCTATATTCGAATTTTTACGGTATTGCCTATAGTACATGGTCACTCTTTCGTATGACAGCGACACGCCTTGACAGTGCTGACAGTGCACTAAATAATAGCTTAACGAAATTGAGAAATTGTGAAATGTTTATTGGTTGCAGCAGGAAAAGCTTTGGACATTGATTACCATTATGAAAAATGTTCTGGCAAGGGATATCATCTTAAGTGTCTCAGGCTGTTCGATGCTTTTGTCTCTTTTCTGCTGTGTAACAGTTCAAAGTTCGGCTTGTGGACCACGGCTTCGAACAAAGAGCTTATATCGCAGAGCTGCGAGATGTGGACAGCCTCGGAGAGTTTGTTTCTCCGCTTACCATCTCAGGTATGTTTGTGCATGTGCGTGTGTGCACATACTCTTTGTCCTTTGCATTTTGCTAGACGGAGTTTGATAAGGGCCCTTTAACATCTTTTGTGAAAAGTGTTCCCTCTAGAATTTCATCATACCAGCAGTGGTGAAGTGCTGCATCAATTACTCTCTTCTCTTGATAATTCGAAGTAGCTTGATTAATTAATTAGAAGCCAACAAGCGCTCCCATCAATTTTGCTGGCGCGCCTGTAGGTAGAAACGCTCAATAAATCGAAGTTAAAAGCCTGTAATGCTGGTTAATTAGAAGTTACTTTTTAGTCGAGAGCCTCAAGGCGACCTTCATTTTTCGATAAATTGAGGAATTTTTCATGTGCCAAGATCACCAAGACGGCTGTTGGACCGCACTGTTGCCGCCATCACCACTGCCCGCAGCACCTTGGTCAATTATGCGGCCATCTTGTTTAGTCAACACCAGGGCATTGCATTGATTGCGTTGTCTAATTAGGCCTTTCCTTGTGATGTGTCGAGTGCTTCAGCCTCGCGTCATGTCGAAGTCTGGTTGAAGTCAGAACAGTGCCGCTGGACGCTGGCATAAAAGAACTGACATTGGCAAATCAGCGAGATCGCAGCTTTTGGAGTTGCACAGGATTGATTGCAGAAAACGCTGTCACGCAAGTGTGATGCGTGTATACGACCGATTCCCGTAGGCACTGTTGGAAGTTGCAGTTTTACTACTTAGTAACTGCCTGAAACTTCGCATCACCTTATTTGTGCTGCTGTTAGTAACATAAAAATATGTGATGACAACAGTTGTAACATTTCCGAAAGTGCATGGCCTTTTCTTGGTTTGCCACTTCACGAAAGAACACTTCAGCCCATTCGGATGTGCTAACATTCAGTGCGCTACCATCGAATCATTTTGGAACTGACAAGAGATACATGCTAACAGAGTGGCACAGCTGACGAATGACTCGCCGGGCTTTGGTCTACACATGATATGTCTTAGCTGCATCATCAAGCTGAGGGAACATCCCAATAAATTCAAATAAATTATATTACATGCCGCAGCAGCCAGAGTGGCCAGCAAGCACTGAAAATATCCGAACTTCGCTGTGTTTGCAATTTACCAATCACGCGGCCCAGTGCCGCCATTTTGGTCTTGTTTTGCTCGTGAATTCTTGCTTTTTTTTTTTCGCCACCTGCGGCAGCATCAGCAGCGTGGACGAAGCGGCAATTCCTCATGATTGGGGGGCTCTCAGAAATTTTGGTCTCCCGCGGCTCTGATGCGAAGCCGCGATCGGAAGAAGCACGTGCCTCTCGAGGAGGTGGGCGATCATTTGTTTTATTATTTACCTTAATAAATAGCCCACCTACTGACAGAGCCACTTTTTTGTCTGTAATTTTTGTCAGAAATAATTAAAGTTTCATTGATAACAACTCTATGGCAAACACTAAATCCAGTGCTCTGCTAAAAATTTTCAGCAAAGAAATGAAAAAAAAGGGCTCTGTCCTAGTGTGAAGCACCCATGTAGGAATCATCGCAGTGAATTTCACGGTGCTAGCACATTTATTGAATTCATCAGAGCCTGACTGAGAAACATATGTGGACTATCCTGATAAATGGCTGTAACTTGGGACCCAGTGAACCTACATGCATGAAATTTTGTCGTTATTCAAATGGATTTATTATTAGCCTGCCCTGAAAATTTCACTAGGATATCTCAGCAAAGAAGTTGCCCTTCTACGCCCCGCCGCAGTAGTCTAGTGGCTAAGGTACTCGGCTGCTGACCCGCAGGTCGCAGTATCGAATCCCGGCTGCGGCGGCTGCATTTCCGATGGACGTGGAAATGTTGTAGGCACGTGTGCTCAGGTTTGGGTGCATGTTAAAGAACCCCAGGTGGTCGTAATTTCCGGAGCCCTCCACTACAGCGTCTCATAATCATATGGTGGTTTTGGGACGTTAAGCCCCACATATCAATCAATCAAGTTGCCCTTCTACGGTAGCCTCCCCCCTTAAGTGTACCAATGTTTTTTTCATGTACGATAACATGACAACGAAAATAAGGATTTGTGGTGCCACACAGTTTTTGCGGAAACCACCTGAACCACTCAACGAACACTCAACGGCTGTTGAAAACTGCTGTGTAGCAGCAGAACTCTAATGAGTTGATGGAGCTGTGACATTTCAATGGTCATTGACTCAATGGCCTTTCAAGGCTGCGTGTGTGACACAGGCATAAGCCACACTTATGACTGAAGGGGCAGTTCATGATCTAGGTCAGGGGTTCTCGGTGTGGTTCGACGGAACCAAAGCGCCCTCAGCAGGGCCTTCCTTGGGGTTTCGCGAGCCACTGATAAATTTTCTCTGGTTCTGCACTCGCCCATTAAACTCGCTTAGATGGCAATTTCGAAGTGTGATCGATCAAGGAAACTCCCGTTATTCCCACCCAAGTGTGAATAAGCAAATCTCTGTGCTTTCATTTTTTTTTTTTTGAAGATACAAATGGAAGAAGTTTACGGGGGGTTGGAGAAGGGGGTTTCTTGGCGGCACTTGATGTAGCTTATCAGAGTGGGTTCCCTGGCATCAACATGCATGAGAACCCCTGATCTAGTTGCTTTAAGATCTTAATTGTTGGTAGACTTGTCGCGATGAATGCTGGTGCACTCATTAGTAGGTGCCATCACGCTCCCATGCATTTTTGTGAAGACATAGCTGTCGCGCTTAACAATTTACTGATTATAAATTGCTCAGCCTCATCGTTCTTATATTGTTTCTGACACACGTACTGGTATGTTGAATGTGTCCTGCTTATCTTACTTCCAGTTCAAGTGGCGTTACTGTATGTATGTATGTATCTATGGACATCGACAGCAGTGCTCTTATACTTTTTACTCTTTCAGGCTGTGTCATGCCAGATGCGAGGCCTTCGTAAAGAGGATGGCTTCTACTGGTCTGCAGACGTTGCGGCTCAAGTCTCTTCTCTTTCTGGGGGTCCCCATGTCGAGCTTCTCTGTCGGGTAAGAGCTTTTTAAATGACTTTTGCTTCGCGAATGTGAATGCAGTGCGCTCTTTGTGCGTGTTCCCTGCTTTTAAGAAGTCGACGGGAGGGGATTCGGTTCTGCATGCATGGCCAGCCTGAACGGCGTCTCAAACTATACACTCACAGGTATGCTTGTCCACTCTAACGGTAAGCATGGTTCACCTTGGCTGCGCTGCGCTGAGCACTAGTGCGATGTTGAGCACGAAGGCTATTGAGCCAGAGGGTCAGCTGACTGGATTAGGAAACATCGTCGTGGTCACGTGTGTAGGGAACTAAAGACAACGTGAAGCTGCCCAAAGATTGCAAAATTGAATGCTGGGACACCCAGCGTAAACGTAAACAAACGCTACCATCGTAGCAGCAGGCTAAACAATGCACCACGTGCGTGTTTTTTTTTTTTTTCTGCATTGTCCGCTTGGAAATACGTGGCTAAGTTGACCAAAGAGCGGAAATATCGCAGCAGCCCGCCGCGCAGAAAAAGTTTCATCAGAAGGCAAAAAAAAACAGGCAAAATAATAAATAGCAGTGCACTTTATTTCCGCCAAGTTCGGCACACTAGTTCGCAGATCACTTCGAAGAAATGTAGTCCTTAATAGACTTTTGCCGACTCTTCCTCACGCGGATGATTGCTTTTTCAGCTGCAGCAGCTATTTCAAGTTCGTTCTCGTCGTCTTCATAAGCACCTAAGAAGCGGTTGCAGCAGGTCTGTCACACCAAGCGCTTGCGCAGGCGTTGGTACGTTCCGTTTGCTAACATTAGGCTCCGGTGTGTTGGCACATACGTCACTGTCATCATGCATCCCGTCACCACGTGCACAAGTTCCACATCTGACAACTCTTCGGTTGCCACTGTGTCAGCATCGGTACCGACGTACGTGCAGAAAATGTTGCAGTTGGGCACAACGCCGGCGTGAAGAGGAGCACAGCGTTTAGGCCTGGTCGTCCGCGGCACCCTCACTGGCGACAATGCCAAAGTCTTTGCTGAGAGCCAAGTGCTTGCCGTTACAGCCAGCCAGGCAGCTTGCAACATCTCAATCACCATTTACAGGTCAATCGATGGTCTGCTTGCGGTAACCAGACTTCATGATCAAGTTCATGATCATCCCTTGATCGAGGGGGTTGCTCAACCGCAGTAGTGTTAGGTGGCAAGAAGCACAGCTCAATGTTTTTAAGCACTACTGTAGTATGGTGGTCCGCGCTGTTATCCAGGGCGAGGCATATCTTGCGGGTTGTGCTTGCCCAGCCACTCTTCCCACTTTCGCAACCATTGTACGAAGATCTCTCTTGTCATCCAGGTCTTGCAGCTCACTTGGAGTTTCCGCTTTCCTTTGAAGCATCTTTGTGATGCATTCTTGCCGATCACGAGGGCCGGCACCTTTTCACACATAGTAGCCCGGTCACACTGACATTGCTCCGTTTGCCACTTTGGCAAAGGTAAACTTTGAGGGTCAAGGTTTTTTGCTGCAACATCTTATAGAACAGGGCAGTCTCATCTGCGTTGAACAAATCCTTGGTGCTGTATTTTCCGAGCAGCTGCCCAGTGTTTTTCTCGATCCACGCCACTGCAGCTTCGTGGTCGACACATAGCGATTCCCCGTTGACAGCCCTGCCGACGAAGTCGTGGCACTCCTTGAAGCGCTGCAGCCTGCCGTCACTAGCCACAAAATCATTGTACCCCATGATCCACGTGATGTTCCTTGCCTTCTGCTGCAAAAGTGCCCTGCTCACAGGAATGCTGCTTGCTCCGATTTGAAATAACCAGTTGAATACCGCCTTCTTGATAGCTTTGAAGGTGGGAACTCGCAGCTTCATTCGGTTGCCTTTGATGCCACGTGCAGTAGCACCGGTAATGGTCTCTCTCTTGCTTAAGATTGTCGACAACGTGCTCAATGAAGCTATATGCAGTCTTCGGTCACTTTTTTCTTCTTGACCCCGGACACAACGGCTTTCAACATTAGACTCCTGCTTGATTGTGATATTTTTGTGCTTACGTTTGCCGTTGCCGTTGCACATCTCGTTTTGTGGCGGAAACTGATAGAGGTGGTTTTGCTCTTCGACAGCGAACGACAGTGAACAAGACCACCATCTCTGCCGTCCCGGCGCGGAGCTGAAGGGGAGGAGGAGGTTAGATGCGCGGGCGGGTTAACGAGTTGTAGAAGAGAGGGGAGGCTGACAGACACACATGCTAGGGCGAGTTGTTGTGCAGGCGAGTCTATTAGTTCCTGAAGAAAGGGGAGGCAGGGAGACTCTCATCCATGCACACCTCGATAGTGTTGGCAGGCGGCTCCCAAAGAGCGCAAGGCGGGAGTTTTGAATTTCCGCAGCTGAGATGAGACGTAAGTCGTCACTATATTGATAGATATATATAGTTGCAATGTATAGATATTGAATGGACGTGTACCGAAATAATCAGCAAATGCTCGTTTTGGACAAAGATTGGTTCGTTATGTCCATTGTGAGGAAATTTTCTCTCGTTAAAACAAAGTGCCGTGCGACTTCTGTGATACACTTCTGCAAGTAGCTTTTTCGGGCTCTAAAAAGTGCCGTGCGACGTCTGTGATACACTTCTTCAAGTAGCTTTTTCAGGCTCTAAAAAGTTGCTGCATGGGTGGTTGTGTACCGTATAAAACGGACTATAGGTCGAGTGGGAATATAGGTCGACCCCCCAAGTTCAGGTTACCAAAAAAGAAACAAGAAAAACGAAACTGCCGAACACATTTATTTGTGAATTGGGCGCACCGCACCTCTATAGTCGGAGCTCCCCTCAACCACCATCGCAACTGCTCCTATTCGTCCGACGAAGCACCAGTCTTCTGAAGACGAGAGTTTGTCGCTGGCCGCCTCCCACAGTGCGTCATCCTCCGTGCCATCTAGCGAGTTGCCGATGCAACATTTCTTCAAAGCATTTTCCACCATGAAATCTGGCAAGGCACGCCAGATGGAGAGCACCCAGCACAAACAGTTGCAAGCAGAGGCCTCTGTAAGCGGCCGGTCGGTGTCTTTGTGTTGTTGCTGGACATTCACTCTTAGTACTCCAGTGGCACTTGGTCCTTGAAGGGCTTATTCAGCACAACGTCGAGCAGCTGGAGGGTGGACGTCATACTACCTGGCATCACTGTGAGGTCCGTTTTCCCGTCACCGAGTGCACAGCGTTGGTTAAGTGACCACGAAACGCATCCAACACCAGCATGCTGCGAAGACGCAGCAGTGCACCTGGCTGACAGTTCCACACTACTCTTATCTATTCGAGCATCATGGCTTCGTTCATGTATCCCTTTTTGTTGACGCGAACGACAACACCGGGCGGGAACACTTCCTTCGGCATTGTTTTGCATTTGAAAATGATGTAGGGCGGAAGCTTTCTACCATCTGCCGTGCATGCCAGCATGACGGTGAAGTGCAAGTGCTCGTTGTCAGTGGACAACAGCTTCACATCTTTGGCGCCGTGTTGTGTGATCGTGGTCGACGAAGGCATGTCAGACCACACGGTGGTCTCATCGGTGTTACCAATCTGCCCCATCATGTAGCCGTTTTGCTCCCGAAGCCGGTTCACGAAGCGCTGAAAGTTTATAAGCTTGTCTTCGAACTCTTCTGGCATCTTTTGACAGATGGATATGCTCCGCTGGAGAGAAAATCCTTTGCGTGGCATAAATCGACGCACCCAAGAATTTGGCGCATGAAACTCTTCTCTCGTGAGCCCAGCTTCTCGAGCGAGTTCCACGGCTTTCTTGCAAATGGTATCCTTGGTCACTGGTAGCAGCGTGCACGAACTTCCCGCACAAAGTCCGCTAGCTTATCCTCCAGCTGCGGATGAACGGCACTTCGTCCACGAAACGACATTTTTCGAACATTGCACATCTGCAGCTTCCCTTTCTGCGCCCGCCAATAGCGCACGCTTTTTTCCGATACACCAAAGCAGCGCTGAGCAGCCATATTCCCGTTCGCTTCTGCGAACTCAGCATCTTGTTTAAACGCAGCTGAGTATTGCCTCCTCGTACCGCTACTCATATTCAGTGCATGAAAAAAAAAATACCTCTAAAAATGCAGCGCAATGTCAAGCAGAGCGAAAATTCGGCACAGATCGGAAGCAAATCACGATCACAAAAAAAAGACGGAGGAAAAAAAAACAGCCTGCGATTGGATTTGGAGGCGAATATGGCCGTGTCTGGCTTCTCAAGCACATGCAGGCTACATGATGCCAGACAGCGGCGCACTTTCGGCTGGACACCGCTATATAAGACGAGGGGCAACTGTAGCTTATTATTTATTGAAGATATCTAGACTTATATTTCGGTTTATACGGTAGTCATGGTGAACTGTCTTGTGTGTTTATTATGCACTTTTGTGTGTGTAGGTGACCAAACCAGGGACGAACGAGGAGGAGACTGTAGTGGAGCTTTTTAGGAGAAATGAAGAGGGGCAGCTCAGGTCTATCAATAACGATGTTATTGAAACCATGAAGCAAACTCGGTGCCCTGGCTTGCACTAGTCGCGCATCTACCCATCTGCCTCAAGGTGAGCCTTCACCGCTTACGAAAGTTGTTCAGCTTGTATTTAGAAGTGAACTTTGAGGTACACCCAAGCATCTTTGCTTTCTATCCGGATGCTTTTCGCCCCACTCGCTTTCCTTTGCACTCCTTTAGCATTGTATGGCCGACAGGTTTCTTCCTCTTAATCTGCGGAGCATCAAAATAACAATAATGGCACGTTTTGAAATTAGAGAAATTCTGTAATTTGTATTCAGCTGCTCTTTGTTGCATTGAAGTCTTCAACACTGGCTGTGCTCTAAATGCCGCGATGTCGAACGCTGTTGTTAACGGGATTATTGTTGCAGTCTCTATTGGAGTTGGGCATGTGTAAGATCAGCAACCGTTTTTCAATTATCATGTCAAAAATATAGTTTTAGAGGAGAAATAAAAGTTTGTTCATGTATGGGTGCTGGCCAGGACCCTCAAGGGAGGTCAAATTAACCCTTTGAGAGTCTAAGATACACATGTTTGTCATCTCGTTTGTCACATGGCAATAAATTGTTTCGATTTCGCTCAGCAGTATGTGGCAGGCCAGTTCTGCTTATGCTTGCCGAATGTACTTGACAGCATGGTTACAAAAGATTTCAATCATCATCAGAGTTTAACCAAATTGCAGTGCAAGTTCTAATTAATGAGCAATCACAGTTGCGGTAGGGGCAGGGACGCTATTTATCTCTGCACAGCAGCAAAGCTTGGCCGAAGTAAAAAAATTTTTGCTGGCTTTTCAGCCATTTTTGTTGATTTGCTCTAAATAAATTTTTTAATTGTCTGCACGGGAAGGCCTATCTGCTTAAATCGGGCCGTCTATTAGCCACTGGAAGCTATTGCTCCCACACAACTGGACGGTACAAAGTTGATCAGAGAGTTCTGAACTGAGCTGAATAATAGTCCAGTGTATCTGAAAGTCTTTTGTACACAGGTCTGTTATAATGAACGTGGACTAGTTGCGGCTTGTCACTGTACTCGACAGTTGTGTCATAACTTTTTGTATAGAACGGCAGTTTTCGGCTCATCGCAGATATAGCAGCACCGGTATCAACAAGCACAAGAGTTTGTGAGCCTTCGACGGACACTTTCATAAACATAGGCATAGGACAGGTGAGAACTTAAGGGGGAGGTGGTGATCCAAGAAAACCTCTTTGTTTGTTGACTTAGAGTAATGAAATTTAGCATGCATACTGAAGAGTGTCTCGAATAGCTACAGTGGAATCCCGATTTTACGACTTTCTCGGGACTGCGCAAAATCGCCGTAAAATGCGGGCATCATAAAATACAAACATGAAAATTTACGCCCACAAAAAAAAAAAAAACATTCAGAATGCAGATTAGCGAGAAACTACCAACGCAAACTACCAACAAACACTACAAGGCAACAAAGTGAAAAAAATACTGCCGCGCAGGTACTAGTTATGATTCATTGAAACAAGCCTTGAGTGGGCCACAATTCGCTGGTGCGATTCCCAACAGCCGTAGCGAAACATGGAACACACTTTAAAAAATTTCATAATCTTCTTCTGCACTGTCTTTGAGTCCACCCGCAAAAGCTTTGTCTCAAGCTTAAAAATGTCCGAAAGCACGTCCTCCGTGGCGTCGCGTGTACAAATGTAGCTCCTGATGGCATCTGTGTGCCGTAGCATATCGGCAAATGACATAGGGACAGCAGAATCTGCGGTTTGGCGTTGTCCTCGTTCGACGTGGCAGTAGCGTCGTCATCGAGAAGTTCTTCTATGACTGCTTCCTCCAGCGACAGTTCACCGCAAGTGTCAACGTTGTCGTCAGCCTCCACAAATTCAAGCCAGGTTCAAATGCTCGAAGTCGTCTTCGTCGATGGCACTTGAATCCTCGTCCATCAAGGATGTGGAGTCATCAGCAGTAGAGGCAGTCTTTTGCACGAAGCCACAATGCTTAAATGAGAGTGCATTTGTGGTTTGCGACATCATGGTCCACGAACTGGCGATCATGTGCGTAGCGTCAAGCACTGAAATCTTTTCCTCCTTGCTGCACTTCATTGGCGCTAGCAGACGCTTCACAAGCAGCTTTCTGTCCGTGCTTCACGTACTTGATGATTCTGGCATCCAGCAGCTCCAGACAGCTTGTGCGGTTTGGCGGTAGAAACACCACCTTGATGTTCCACAGGCAGGTCATGTCGGGTGGGTGGCATGGTGCGTTATCCACAAAGAGAATAATTTTTCTCGCCTTTGCACCCATTTTCTTGTCTAACTGCTGTAGAAACTTGGTGAATATAGCGGATATCATCCACGCCTTTTTGTTGAAGTCGTACCTGCAAGGCAGCATCCGCAAATTCCTGAAACACCGTGGCTTGCCAAATTTTTCTATTACGAGCACCGGCAGCTTTTCAGAACTGTTTCAGGTCTGCTTGTGTTGCATGTGGTAAAATATGCCACTTTCATCCGCGTTAAAAACGTCGCAAGGCTTGTATTTCATAATCAAGTCGGGCAGTGACCCTTTCCAATCCCGCACTGT